CCGGTCAACACGACCTCCACCTCTAATTCCAACGGCAAGGGGCAACTGAGGTCATTTGCCACAGCGGACCCCACTCGTCAGGACAACCAAACGACGCAAATCAAACAGAAGGCGGACAGAATGGCGTGAGAGAGAAAAGTTTTTCGAGCTTGGACACTGATGATAGATCGAACTTTTTAGGGACATAGACGATTAGACCATCTTTTTTAATGGCATACAAGTAAAAGACCCTAGAGATTGGCAGCGGACGTTACCTGCGGCGCGGAGGCAAAGGGACTCGCCTCGCGACTCGCACCCGTGCTCAAGATGCGCAACCGTCGGAGAGTGCGGCAAAGGATCCGGCGTATGGCGGGTGGATCAATGACGGTGGGGCCTGTGCGCTCAATGGCAGGCGCCATGGTGGCTTGGAGGATCCGCATGTCACAAGTGGTTCGACCAAAAGTGACTTTGCAACACAGAGCAATGCGAGATGCAACATCAGAAGTTTTTGTTTACGACAACGAGAAATATATGATAAGAATAACATTATTTGATCCCATGAGATTATAAGAAAAATGAATTCCTATCGGAACAAACGGAGATGTTTCATGCTACAACATCCGATCTGAATCCCTTTTTTCCTATATGAGGGAGACCTTGCAATTCAGCTATTGAAACATCCGATAACAACTCACGGAACAAAAAAAATATTAATGCAACAAAGAAATATTACTTATTGTAGTATCAGAACAAGTCTACCACAACATCAAATTCATTCAGCAGCAATATGAAAGTGTTGCTTTCACGAAGTCAGCCCATGAGGAAGAAGGATACCCCCATGTTAATAACATCTCCAATCAACCATCCCAACATGCAAAATCAAACATTGAAATTAAACGTCACAAATCCTATAGAGACGGCAAGCAAAAAAAAAAGAATAGAAATCCCACAAAAGTGAACAAAAACCGCAACAAGAGAAACAAACAATTGAAACAAATGAAATAAATACACAAAACATGTGGACTTTACCATTGTCACATCCATCTTAAACGGAAGAGTCAGGTCGCCCACGATGGCAGCGATGGGTGAGGGGCCTAGGTGGCGGTGGCGGCGAAGCAGTAGAGGAAGAGCGGTGGTAGGCGGGTGTGCGAGGGGGGTGAGGTGGCTAAGCAGGGGCATGAGCGACGTGGAGCAGGGAGGACCGCGTCACCAATGCCGGCGAGCTCACTCGGAGGAGGGACGACCATAGGTGACGACGAGGCTGCGCGACGTGCGTGTGGGAGACGGCTGCGAGTGCCACCGAGGATGGCGACGAGGCAACGCGGCGTGGGGAGGGAGCTGCGAGGGGCAAGCACCACCGCCAATGAGGCATCTGTGAGGGCCACCATGGAGAAAGAGAGAAAGAGCCACAACAGAGAAAGAGGGAGGAGGTGAACGGGATGAGTGGCGTGGGGGAGGAAGAGGATAGACGTGTGGGTGGCAGGGAATGTGGGACGCATGGGCGTGGGCGGTGGGCCTGCGGGAGCGTCCAACGATTTGCGCCTAGATCAAACGTAAGACACGTAGCATCACCGTTCTAATGATCGTTAATTCATCCATTCATTCAGTTTAAGCCTTTTTCTTCCGGATGCTTGCTTTAAGAAAAGCCTCGTGAGATTTAGCAGTCCACATAGGAAGAAGCACACCGAAAGAATGCACAATCAAAGCAAGACGTTTTAGCTTTCAAGAAAGGCTTGTATATATCATCATCACCGTCGTCCATCCATGGACCATGGCCAACTACATACGGAATGCATGCATTTGTGTTTTGTACGTTTCACCGTCCACGTCCACGCAAAAGTGGCCTTCACAGGCAAAAACCGACCTTGTTTGTGAGTTTGTCCTTAAAGGCTTCAAAAAGATCAATCATGCATATCCACCGCTTGTTTTCTTTACTGCTGTACGTATATTCCATCTCGGATCTCTGCTTCTCTTGATCCTGACATGGTGCCCCCCCATGCATCTATCACTCTCTCACACACATACACAGTCCCCACATTGCTGTGACTGACTGAATGTGCAGAGAGAGAGAGAGAGAGAGAGAGAGAGAGAGAGAGAGAGAGAGAGAGACTGCGCTGTAAGGTATATCTGTACGGAGTATGTACTCCCTCCGTCCCGTTAAGATTGTCGCTCGGGAAGCGGGATTGTGAGGGGGGCACGGTTTTCCAACGACAAACTCAATGGGACGGAGGGAGTACGTACCTTAGTGCCGCATCATATCCTCTCACGTGCACATCCACTCTGCTATTTCTTGGGGAGTTCCAATTCCAATGGATGAAAAGAAGCAAAAGGGAGGTCATGCCTGTGCTGTGTAAGCACACGCACCCTGGGCTGATGGTCGGGCCCCTCTGCTGGCTGCTACTGATGACACCTTATTAGCCCCAAATGCTCAAAAGTCTTATTGACAGCTATATATCTGCACTCTTTTGCCTAACCTTGCTATTATTAGGCCCCCGTTTGTTTTGGTTCTGAGAGGCTCTGGCTCCTGCATGCGTTCACTATTTTGCACTGTGAAACATTGTATAATAAAAGGGGCTCCTCCTCCAGAATACGACGTAAACACACAAGGAGCCGCCGAAGCTAGCGTGTTGGGGCTCCGCCGGCTCCGCTACAATGGCGCTACAATAACACAACAGTGCCAGAGCCGGAGCTCCTCCAAATACTTTCTTAGTATGACGTTGTGTCTCGCCCAGGTTTCACAAAATTCCTGGCTCCGCCACTGCATGCTGTTCTTCTATTAAGTACGTACAGAGTCACCGGCATGTACAAATACCCTCTCCCTTTGTGTGCCATCTCTTCATTATCATTATATATATAACCTATATATAGATGCTTTTTATGCGATGGAAACGGAAAAAGGGTAGAGATGAGCCAAAAAAACAACGGACAAAGAAATAAGCAAAGTTGGGCAGGATATATGGGCTCTGGATGGGGGAATTTTGTTTCTTCCTTGACGTACCATATTCTCTGCATAAGACCAGTTATTACTGTACCATATTATTCCTTGATGTAATTTTAGGCACATATACACAGTTGCATTTAGTAATATAAGTGAATATTACCTGCATCAGGAATCTGATTAGAATTCATTCTCTCCACAAGAGACTTTGTACCAGGCCACTACCTGGTATATACGTACCTGCCCTAGGTCCCCGAATATACCATCACTGGATGCTCCCCTCTCCCTACCCCTACCAAACAAGCAGGCAATCAAGCAAGCAGCTGATGAGCCTCAGATCCGATCCAAAGCACCAACCAGCACTAGATTACCAATCACTAGCCTCAAACCTGCAGGAGGGTCTAGTGGTTAATTGTTAAAAAAGGACAGCTTTAAGCTCTTGTTCATCTGGTTGTTTGTACTACTCAAATGAGCTACTGCTATTGACCAGGGGAGAAGGGACACCACTAGTGCACCAAATGATTAAGCACCCAGAAAAGTGCAAAGGAAGGGCATGCACCAAGATTCCATCTCCTTTGTATTTTCTTGCCTTTGGAGCGTGGGGGAGGTTGGGGTGGGGGTGGGGAGTTCATCTTTGGTTGCTGCTGCAATTATGCCCCAACAAACCAGTTCATGTGTGCCTTTTGACTTGTTTACATGACTGTGTAAGTCATAGCAGATGGATCAGATAGCATTTACCCCGATTGATACCGCGACATACGTTAGAAGCAAAGATTAATTAGTACAGCAACATTTGGCTATATGTTGCATGTGTTTAATCCATTACTATTGCCTTTGTAAAACCTGTTGTACCCATATATGTCATGGTGTGCAAAGAAAGGGGTGAAAACGACTGCTGGCTAGCTGTGTTAGTCTGCACTTTTCAGTTTTCAAAAGGAAAGGAGGGGAAATAAAAGTAAAAGGAAATATCATTAGCTCATAGCAGCCAGAGGTTAGATGCTAGAAAGAGAGACTCCATCTGCATGGAAACGGACAGGAGTGAGGACTGACATGGCAAATGTACTTTTTAGGTCATATAAATGAACTTTGAACCCTTTATTTTCCATGAGGGAAGAAAATACTAGCTAGCTAGCTAGCATCACCCACACATGAAAGCCTAGCTAGCTGCTAGGAATTAATCCTTCCTAAAATCAGCATCAGGTTGAAGAAGAGTTGAATTCCTTGCAAGATTAAGAAATATAACAAGACGATCAAACGATCGTGAGAGTTAACAATACATGGAGCGATGATACAATCAACATTTGTGAAAAGTAAATTAAGGCAGAGATAAATAAGATAAAAGGGCTAATTTTTACACCGGGAAAAAAACGACAGGTCATATGCATGCTACTTGCATGCGCATCATGTCGTCATGTGCATGCATGGACGTATGTCGTCCGCGTGTAGCATGTCGTCGTGCGGATCAGGGCGAAGGTAACCCCGGAAGATCATGGTGGACAGTGGGAAGTAACTGATCAGCGTGCATGGCCGGGGAGCTCAGAAGCTTCCTCCAATGGATCACCTTAATTATTATCCTATACACATACATACTACCATATAGTTGTCAGAGACACAGTACATGCAGTGATAAACCGACGAACTACTGAAACTGAACCAGTAGTGCCTACTACTACACCTACACCTGCATGCTAAGCTACTGATGATATAAAATAAAAGGGTAGTAAATAATGGATAAAAGTGAGATTCTTGTGTAAATTAACGTACGAGTACGACATCACATCAGGGAGAATATATAACCAGCAGGAGAGAATCATCATCTACTCAGCAAGCACTAACTCCAGTCTGCAGCTTCCCAGGGCAGTAGGAGCGTTTCGATCTTACGGTTAGGTTTCCGTCGCGACCTCACGTTCTCAGCGGCGCCCACTCGAAGCGCCCCTCCAACGGAAGGTCGAGGGCAACGTCGTAATTGTACCTGCAGAGGGAGGGGGCCGTGCCGTGCGGAGCTCGAGTCAGCCAACGACCTTGTACAAGCTAGATTGTACACGGCAACCCAACCGTGTGGGGGAATCAAACGCCGTGGTGCTTACGCCTCTGCAAATCGCCGGCGCTCGGCGAGCTCCGCCGCCGCGAAGAAGGCCTCTATCTCGGCTTCCGTCGGCGGCGGCTGGCCGGCGACGACGCCCTTGCGGCGGCTCTCGTTCTCGTGTTTTGCCTTCGCTTTCGCCGCGGCCGCGTCGCAGTCGTCGGTCATCAGGGGCGGCGTCTTTGGTCTCCTGCTAGTCAAACACGATTTGAAAGAACTAAAAACAGCTGGTTAATTAATCATTGTCCTGATGAACAATTTGTGAAACTATGGTAGGTAGTATATATTGTTTCGTAAATTTGCTCGAAATTAGAAATTGACTTGCTTTTTGAATTGTGATCCCTCGTCCGAAGAATGAAAGCCAGCAGGGAATAAATAAAACTGCACTCACTCGAAGCTGTCTCCACGGCCGCCGCCGTCGCCGCCGCGGGCAACGGCGGCGGCACCGGTATCTGCCGACCGCGACAGCGGCACCTCCTCCTCCGGCCGGCCGTCGTCGTAGAGCTCCTTGGGGCTCGCCGCGTCGGCCGCGCCCCTGCGCCGGGGGCTGCCGTGCTTGTTCGCGGTCGCGGCCTCGGCGCCGCACCACCGCCGGAGGGCTGACCCACGGTGGCGCCGCGGCCTGCCGCTCGTCCTCGGGCTGCATGCCGCCGACGACGCGGCCAGTACGCGGCGGCCGCTGCGCAGCGTGAGGCACGACGCGGCCGCGGCGGGCGGCGGCTTGCTGCTGCCGCGGATCCTGACGCACTTGCCCATCGATCGGCCGGTTTGGTGGGTTGCCTCGGCTGCGCTGGTGTGCAGTGCACTCTCGCTGTGCCTGTGCGTGTGCGGTGTACAGTGGCTACCTGCCGGCGGCTTTTGTACTGGCGGCTGGCGCTACGCTACACCGTGAAAGTGAGGTGAGCGGTGAGCCTACCTACCTTCCTTGTGGGCACATATGAAGGCTCGTCTATTTGCGTAACGTAACGGAACGGAACCGGACGGTGCGTGTTCAGCCGTTTGCTGACGTCCATGGCGTGGGTGAACACAGTTGCCGAGGTGCAGAGGGTTGGGGACTCTGGTATTATCGGTTTATTTGTAGCCTATATATAGCTTATCTAAAAAAAAATGTTTACCTTTCTTCCAAATTATAGGTAATGTGTGTATAGCAAAAGGAATTTTGTAGTAAAAGTGAAGGAAACAAAAATAAAAAGGAAGGAAGATGAGGTGGTAGAGAACCGAGCTTTACTCCCGGTGGGGAACCCCCTCTAGTCCCGGTTCCCCACCCGGGAGCAAGCATCCGGGACTAAAGGGGGGGTCCTTTAGTCCCGGGTCAGGAACCGGGACTAAAGGACACCAACCGGGACTAAAGGTGCCTCCTGACATGCCACGATGGCCGGCACCTTTAGTCCCGGTTGGTAATACGAACCGGGACTAAAGGTTTTTTTCTTTTTTCTTTTCTTTTCATTTTTTTGTTTTCTTTTCAAAATAGGTTTTCGAAATCGTATTGTACGCTGCTAATTATACATTTATACGCGCATATAGTATGTTTCGGTTCAAGCACAATGAACGTATTAAATCACACAATTCAAGCATAGAAATATATATATATATATATATATATATATATATGAATGCATGCATCATATATATATTTACATGCATGCATGCATATGTGTATTTTACATTATATTATTTCATGTGCATATATTACAAAAGATTGCATTACAGTTTGTTGTGACATAACAAGTTTCCTCTTATCCTCTAGCTTGGCTTCAATGGCGGTGTTGGGTCAAGTAGAACTCGCCCTTGGAATCGATGACCTGCTCATTAAAAAATCCGGCTATAGACTCTTGAATTGCTTTGATTTGGTCTTGCCAGTATGACCTTTTCCTCCAACCATCGAGTCTACATGAGTTTGAATTAAAGGAAAATAAATTAATATATGTACATATATATATATATATATAAAGACATAGTAACACAATCAATAATAATAATTAAATGAATATATAGTGTATTTTTAACGCATTTTTTGAGTCTCTCTCTAGGGGAGTTCTTTGGGAGAGCACCTTGATAAACTTGCAAACATAGTAACCACGATGAGTTGTTCCCTGTTCTCGCCTTAGACACCACTTTACGAGAAAAAGATTTGTCATCCAATCTGGTGATCCGGTGAAAGCTATATGTTTAATTAATAAAGATGATGCGATTCTGGGGACTTACTTTCAAAGGGATTACATTCGGTGGCGCTTTGCATTTTTCCATGTGTTGCTTCTCAATAAAGGTTTTCCAAACACTTTGCCTAATAAAAAATTTGCCACGTCATCGGATATAGTTAATCATCATGTTTGTGTGTATATATAGTTGCTAGAGATCCCGAAATTACCTCGGATAATATCTATCATATCTTGGTAGTCTTGTTGTGGTTTTCTCATCGAGTCATAGATTATCAAGTGACTTTTCACCGGATCGATGTCCATCAATATCCAAAGTGATTGCTGTGTGTTTATAGGATATAACGCATAACACTCATTAATTAACTAGAATCAACATATGAGCCATTAAGGATATGATCGACATGATTAACACTCACTTGAAGTTATAGGAAAGAGTATATCCTTCTTGTGGCGTTGGTTCACTAAGAAGTTCATGAGGTTACTCTCCTGACTCGCACTTCCAATTAGTCTTTGGAGTAATTGGGTCTTGAATACTATATGGGGATCAACAAAACCAATTTCATTGCAGCCTTCCTTTACGAAAGCTCTCATTGTAAATCTGCATATATATAGTACTTGTTAGGATAATTTATATGCATATACACACATATAATGAGTTTAATAATAGATCGAAAGAATTATTACTTACAGGCAATAGCGACTAATGATAACTTTGTCCAGAGAGGTCGGGTGGCATAGTTGATGAAATTACGCAAAGTCAACATACATAACATCATCGCCATACGGAACCAATGTTCGCCTCTAATTCGACACCAACGCAGAAGTCTCCACTCGGTAGACGCCTGCATGTACCACTGTTTAGCGGTACATTTGCGTCCCAGATCGAGATAAGGCTTGAGGGTTGTATAGACTCGCCTAGTACAAATTTTTTTCTTCCAAATATCAACCTCCGCCGCACTCTCAATGTTTCCATCACCAAACATCTAGTAAAGGTCGAGACCAGTCTCATCAAGAAATTCACCAAGGTGATCCAAATCGACATCCGGAGGTATGTTTGCCTGATGCATTAATCCTAAATTCGAACCATATTCATTACCAACAACTAGCGGGGGATTGATTGGTGCGCTTTGTTGTCCGAGTTGGGCAATGCCTTTTCCTGCCCGCTTCTTTTTACATGCACCTCAATTGACTTGGTGAGAGTGCGGTCATAGTCGATAACGTTGATTTGGACGGCTTACGAGATTCCACTGTTGTTGCTGGTAAGAAGTCACCTTTTTTCTTAGAATATCTGGAGCTACGAAGAAGTACGGTTTCTCCGGGTTTCTCCTTGCTTCTTGATTCATTTTAAGTTTGTCATAGAATCTAGACATGTCTTTTTTATATACATCAGTTCCTTCTTCCTTCTCTTCAGATATTATTTTGGGAATAGCCCTTGGTTTCACGGTGGCTTTCTTTGCAGGCGGGGACTGGTTCTTCGTTTGAGGGGTTGGCCTCTTGCTAGGCTTCTTGGTAGGCGGGGGCGGGGGAGGCGTTGGAGACCTCCTTGGAGGTGTTGGCAGCGGCGTTGGAGACCTCCTTGGAGGTGGCGGCTGCGGCGTTGAAGACCTCCTTGGAGATGGTGTAGATGCAGCCTCGTCTTCCAACATAATGTCATCGTACTGAGCACTATGATGATCTGGCGATTGAACAATTGGATTTAGGTTGGGGGAGGATCTGCTACAAAAAAAAGGAATGACATATTATTATGAGCAGATTGTTATAATTTTCTAACTAGTATGGATTTTCTATAATTTTCTAACTATTTTCTAAGTTTATATTTATATATATACTACGTTTGGGTACGGTGATTGACAGACTACTGCGACGATATCAGGACATGTGAATAAATAACCATCCGTACTAGTTGACCTTGCTTACGTGATCATCTCGGTGAGCATGTCTCCACAGGACGGCACCGTACTTGACCACGGAAGAGCTCCAATTCTACGAGGAAGGGAACACGGTCTTCCACGACCGTTGCCGCTCTCCCTCGTAGAATCAAAGCTCCTCCTTGACATCCGTTACCGCTCGGCAGAGAACGTGCTCGCCGAGATGAACACGGTCCGCAAGTTCAACTAGCTACTTTAACCTTATTTCATGTAAATATGCAAGCTTGAAGTGATTTTGAGCTCAAATTGCTTACAAATGAAAAAAAACCAAAATAAAGAACCATATATATATATAGTGAACAAAATGAGATAAGACAATGGTGAAAAATGAGAGTATGAGATTGGTAACCTTTACAAACTGAAGAATCGATGGAGGAATCAAGAAATCGATGGAGGAATCGAATAATGGATGGAGGAACAATGGAGGGAGGGAGGAAGCAAGAACACTACTGCAGTGAGCTTCAAAATGTCTTTGAGCTCGGGCTCGGAGAGGAAGGAGGAGCCGGCCGGGATATAAAGGGGACCTTTAGTCCCGGCGGTGGCTCCAACCGGGACTAAAGGTAACTTTCCAACCCGAGCGCAGCGCCACGGCCCGAGTAGACCTTTACTCCCGGTTGGAGCCCCAACCGGGAGTAAAAGTATACCTTTAGTCTCGGTTGGTGGCTCCAACTGGGACTAAAGGTCCCCGCCACCTCTGTCTGGCGCAGCATGTCGTTAGGGCACCTTTAGTCCCGTTGGAGACACCAACCGGGACTAAAGGTATTTCTAATCCCGGGCGCAAAAAATTCCGGGACTAGAGCCCATTTTGGCCGAGGATCAAAGGCCTGTTCTCTACTAGTGAGGAGAACGTTTGGAACAGAGGAGAACACCAACAGCTTTCCTCCGGAATACTATGTACACCATCTTCACAGTTTGACAAGAGAACAAATATTTATCCGAAGCTCTGGTTTTCTTTTCATATGGAGAAACCTGAGGCGTTAACTCGTCGGATACAGAGGAGTAGCCATCATTGGTTGACCTGTAGAAATGCAAGTGTGTACACTATTTAATCCAAACGGGCCATCATTGGTTACCTTTTAGAGACTTGTAATTGTGCATCTAGTCCATGACTCACTTTTTTAGATAATACGACTAGAAAAACAACACATATACTTATCATAACCTACAGGTGATACAGCCATGGATGGCTGTCTATCGGCATGGAACTAGTGAAGCTAAAGACGCCTGCCTCCTCCGTGCGCCATGCCCAACCTTGACCTGCTCCAATGGGGTGGGAGTGGAGGGCACTGGCCGGGATTGGGTGTTGTCGCGCCACAACTGTGATGGTTTGGGGCAGGGGAGGCGGCGGCTGATGGATTGGTGTAGAGGAGGGAGGCAGCGGGAGTGGGTGTGTTGGGTTTTTTTACTCCTTTATATATGCAAGCGGGTATTGGGCCTTGGGCTCGATATCCACAACTCTAGATCCTGTATTGTTAGTGACGGTGCGCTCTTAGTGACATTCTTTCAATCTGTCATGGATTAAGAGGTTTGTTGTAGTGCTCTCTCCTCCATCCTCCGTGTGTTCACCAACCTCTCTCCCTTTCTCCCTTTCCCCTTCTGTCTCCCTCCTTGCAAAATTGCCTATCTTTCTCTCTCCCTCACCATGATTCTTAGCGGCGTCCCCCCCCCG